GAATTCTACCATCTTTCTTCGGCACTGGGATGATGTTGGCCAACCACTTAGATACTCAGATACTAGCAAGAACCCTACGTCTATCTTCTTGGTGACCTCTTCCTTAATCTTCAAAGCCCAATTCGGGAGTATTCTCCACAATTTCTGCTTGATAGGTCGGGCCCCGGGGTCGAGAGGGATCCGATGCTGTACAATCTCAAGATCGATTCCAGGCATGTCTTCATAGGACCATGCGAAAACATCTTTGAAATCTTTTAATAAAGCGACTAAGCGCTCGCGCTCCTCCGAAGACAACGTGGGCCCGATCTAGACGAGATACGGATCCTTCTCAGTACCCACATTAAAAGAATTGATTTCATCAGCAAGGGGTTTTGCAAACCTCTCCTCCTTCCCAATTAATCAAAATTTTCAAAACTAGAGAAATTCCTTCCTCTTCGTTTTCATTAAAATTTCAAAAGTCCAAATCAATGCAATAAACAAAACGGCACAGAGAAATACTCAAATTCTACAACGACATTCTCATTCAAAAGGTCCAGCTCATTCAGCTTTTTGGTTACAACTGACTCAAAAGTAAAAGAAAAGAATGACCTGGATAAGACCTTGGCATTCGGGTTATCAACCCCAGGAATACCGGATTCGGACTTAGAAGAACGAGAATCAGATCTCGACTCCACAAACTCTATGGAATCAGATTTTGGTTCATTACCCGACTCAGAACTACTAGACAGGCAGCCCTCCTCCAGCTGCCAAACAAGAGATGGTTCGTCAGATACATCCAAAATACTGCTAGAAGGGTTCACACCCGATTGGTTCCACATCATGGAGATAGTCAGGTTATCTCCCAAGCTCTCTGAGTCGATTAGAGGATCCGAAAGGAGACATGCGAATGTTGCCCCTACTTCAAGCTTGCTGCTGTTTGGGTCACTTTCTATGCTCCGCTCAACTTCAGCAGTCAGTTTAGCCTTTTCTTCTGTATCACTATCTTGCAACTGCAAGTCAAAGAAAATTTTGAAGCCAGGAACCTGCTGCTTCTTAGAGTTGAACCAGGGTTCAGGGAAATTGCAAAATGGGAAATCTTCACCCTCTCGAACAAAATGACCATTTAGGGTCCCTCAAATTGGTCTGTACACAAGCTCATAACGCTTCCTGGTCTGCTTAGCTTTGGCTCTGCCGGCCATCTCTTTTGCTTTCCTAACCCAATCCTCTTTGGTGGGCGTATAGCCAAGACCAAAGGCATGTGGGTTATGTGGTACATCGGTCAATGCTGTGACGCCTTTTTGGCCACTTTTTCCCAACCCTATTCCTGTAATATGTTGGAGCTTGTTCATCAAATAGATTGATTGGGCACTGACATACAAGCACGAATCTGATGCCAAGATGGTTTGCACTACTTGGGCCTCAGCTAGAGTGAACCCTGAAAGGAATACATCCTCCTTGCCATGAACAATTTCCAGCACAAGTGTAGTTACCTCTGGCGGAGGATGTATAGATGAATTTTCGAACACAATAGCCACCCCCTTCCTATGGAGGTATTTCAGCATTTGGTGGAGGGTAAAAGAGACAGATTTCACCTGATGCAACCAAGGTTTCCCTAGCAATAGATTGAAAGTGGCCGGCACATCCAGGACATGGAACTCAATATCCTGTTGAGCTGGGCCCACTTGAACTCTGATCTGTACTGTACCCACTATCTCTCTACTCGTATTATCATACGTCCGAATCACCTAGGCTGTAGGTACGAAATCTGTTGGTTTTAGGCCAATGACGTAAGTTGTGTGAGATGGGCAGCCATTGATTGCTGACCCGGTGTTGACCAATACCACTGGCACCTACTTTTCTCTATACTCCACTGATATGTATAGAGGTTTGTTGTGTGCTGAGCCTTCCGGTGGTAGTTCCTTGTCTGAGAAGGTTAAAGTTGGCGTAGCGCCTCCGAGGAAAACCAACTCGACAAGCTGTTTAGGAGTCATATCAATGGACAATTTGGCCCTGTCTATCGTTGACAGCACAGCCTGTCAATGTACTCGAGAAGCCATAAAAAGACCCCAAATTAAAATATCAGCCTGGATTTTCTTCAGTTGTTTTAGCACCGCCACTTCTTCCAACTATTTTTCCTTCTGCTTCTCAACCTCTTTATCTTTCCCGGAGGCTTCAGCTTGGTCCAAATGTGGGGGCTTGAAATACTGCCCACTCCTCATCACGTGGTCAACCTCTTCAAAGTACCAGGTGTTGTCTGGCAGGTCTTCACCCCAATCTTCATTGGTGTGAGCCAAAAGCAGATCATCGTCCTCCAACCATGCACCTCCGGCAGCCGACAAACAGTTGTCCGGCTCCGTTCTAATCATTCCCTTATCAGAAGTGTCCACTGCAGGGTGTTGGGCTTTTCTAGCTTCCTGTTTGTCTTGATCCCTTTCTTGCACAAGCCGCTTCAATGCGGCTTCCTGTTCAGTATCCGCGGTACTAACTGCGCCTAGTTCTTGAGCTAAATTCTTGATACCGGTGCTCTCCGATAATTTCCCCTTCTCTTCGGCCATTTCGGCCACTGCAATCATTCTTGCTTTTTTTTCTTTAGGTTTTGGTTGAGTTTCCTCCTCCTTGTCAGGCTCATCACTAAGCCACCTGGAGTTGTCTGTTGACCCATTCTGATCAAACCAGTCAATCTGCACGTCCCCCTGATCTTGCTCGTCGTAGAACTACAGATTGTCTAAGTCTTCCTTTAGCTCCATTAGATCATCCAAACCTTGGCTTGGGCCATCCTCTCCAACCACACTGACCTTCGCTGTTGTTGGCAATACCACTTCTGGATTGGCTTGATCAACTGGCACAATGTAGTGGCACCTTAATAATTTCAGTTCTCAAACGGTTTTGATTAATTATGTGATACATCATAATAATCGCAAAAATTTTATTTTAACCAAATTATTTTTGCATATTTTTCTGGCAGAATCCATGAAGGTGCATTATTAGTAATATTATAAATTCAAAAAATTTATTTAAAAATTATTCATGAAACATCAATAGGTGCCTTAAATATATACAATTATTTTCGTTGAATCATTATTCTTGGAAATAATACTTCACACTATTTGTCATTTGACATTTGTCAATTTATCATCCAAAAACTTAACCCCCCATCCCCTCAAAAAAAAAAAGTATTGAGTTCCATTATTTTAATAAATTAATATCAAAATGGACTCTGCATGTGTATTTAAATCACTTCTAGAAATATAATTTTTAATATAAAATCACAAAGAATTTAATTTTAATTAATGTAATGATATTTTATGTTATGATATGTGTTACAAAATAATAATACTAATTTTAATTTAAAATAAAATTTAAATTTAAATTATTTATTTTAATAATTTTAACCTTATCATTCTATAAAAATGTTATCCGAATACTTATATATAACAAATTCAGTTAAATTATTTGTTTATTTTCATAATTTTAGTTCTATTATATTATAAAAGTGTAATTATCATATCACGATTTTATATGATATATATTAAATTATAAGATAGTAAAATAAACACTTACTTTGATATGAAAAATAATAGTTAAATTACAAAGAGAATTAATAATATAAAACTAAAAATGATTTTAATTATTTAATTTTATATTTATATTTATTTAGAAAATAAAAATATGTAGAAATAGAACAATACAAAATTTATTTAAAGTCACTACTTGCAATAATAAATGGAAGACGGTTTTTGGCGTACCTGATGTGCAGATCCGGCGAAGGTGAGGACATGGACGACGAATCCGGCGGCAGCTTCGGCGGGGGACGGCAAGGTCGTCGGTTGTTCGAGGGAGTTACATGATGCCGCTTGAAGGAGGAGTTCGCAGAATGAAGCAGCTGAAGGAGGCAAATGTTGTTTCGTTTTGCCTTAGGCCCCAATTTATAAGATATGAGGGTAGATTGGTAAACAAAAAGTTGCGTTTACAGCTCTTCCCAAATGGTGGTTCAGCTTTTTCAACACTTCAGTGTTTTGATTTTGGGCTGAGAACGCTGCGTTTTTGTAAGGTTCCCAAAACGACACTAAGTTTGGTTTTGTGAAAATGTATAGACAGTTTGTTAAGGCAAGTAGAGTCATTAGTGCCTGCTTTGTTCATCTAATCACTTTATGTCAAATATATAGGGTGTGTTTGGTTTGTGTTTATAGAGTAATTTTTGACAAAAAAAAGTATAAAAACTTATTTAGTTTGTCTTTTTTCAAATATACTCTCTAAAATAATTTTTGATTTTTTTTTTTTTTAATACCAAAAGTGGTCTTACAATACGTGGGCCACTTTTGTGAAAATACTTGTTTGGGTTGTTTTTTATAAATAAATTTGGAGAAAATTTTCTAAAATTTCATTTGGTTTAATAATTTTGGAAAAAAAAAAACTTGAAAATCATTTTCTATCTCCTATATATCAATTAATCACTTTTTCTCTTTTATCTCTCATTTTCAATTACTTTTTCTCTCACATACATCTATTCAACTGTAACAAAATATCAAATCATCTCAAACTCCTACACTCCAAAACTATTTCCAAAATATACAACCAAACAAATCAAAAAAAAATTTAAACTCTTTTTCCAAGATTTTTTTTGACAATTATGTATAATAATGACAAAAAATAATTACATACAGAAATGGCAACTCTATTGTTCATTTTTTACATTTTTGTAGATTTTTTTTTATTTAATTCGAGGTGTTTGTATTTTTTTTTTCCTCAAAAAAACCATCCAAACAGATTTCTAAGAATTTTTTTTGAAAATGTGTTTGCAAACATGTTTCAAAAGTTATTCTAAAAAAAGTCAACCAACCACATTTTGAAGAACTTTTTTAAAAAAATCTGTTTGGTTTAATTACTCTCCAAAATGTGTTTGCGGAGCATATTTCAAAATTTTTTTTTTTTTCAAAGGTAAACCAAACAAGGCCTAAGCCTTTTAAAAAATTACGTATGTATATATATATATATATATATATGATTTTCTACTATTGTATGTAGATAGAAAGTGGCTGTGGGGAGAGGAAATTGGGTGCGTGTATTGTATAGTATATACTCTCTGTGTCTCTCTGCAGAAATCGAAGAGAGTGCAGAGCTCTCTCTCTACGTATTCGCAAATACGAGCTCACCCTCCCTTGTATTCTCTCTCTCTCTCTCTCTGTCTCTCTCTCTCTCTCTCTCTCTCTCTCTATATATATATATGTATATCTATCTTATGTATATATGCACATTTGTGCTAGTCCGTATACAGATATTGTCGTGGATCGATCTCTCTCTCTCTGTTTTTTTTTTCTAAATATTTTTTATTGATTGTAATTTTGATCTTTTCGATGAAAACAGGAGTCTTCTAATGCGATTTGACGTCCAAGATTGTTCAAAAGGGGGTTCATTTTGAAACGGTTTGTTTGTCGTCTTAATGAACAGGTCAGCGTAATTTTGGGAGGTCCTAATGTGTTTTGTGTGGATGATTGAAATTAGTGATTTGGATTTCTGTTGATGGGTTTGAACAATTTTGGTTAACGTGTTTTACAATTTGGGGGTTTTGTGAGAATTGTGTTGTATATTTCTTTTGAGCATAAATATGATTGAAGGGTTTGTTTAGTTAGGTTTAATTGAAGCTTGGGAAGATTGATAATGTATTTGGGCATTGTTTGGGGGTAGGCATTCCAGTAGTATAGACTACTGCTTTTGACAGTAAATTTGGTTCACCTTTTGCCCTTAAAAGCAATATAATTACTTCCCAATCTTAACAGAAGAGTACATCTGGCAGCTTTTTGAGTATAAATTGAATGTAATTGTGATACTGTGTTATCACTGACATCTCGTATTTAGGAGTGATAAACGAAACAACATTTGTTCAAGCTTGGTTCCTTATATTTTCAAGCCAACCTCAAACAAGATTTTGTCGAGCCGAGCTAAAATAGTTTTGTATTTTTATATAATTTTAGGCTTGTTGCACTGAGCCAAACAAGCAATTGATTGGTCAAACTTGATTTGAAAATTAGTTTGGCTTGTTTACTTAACGAACTGAGTTCGAACGAGCTTTTAACGAGTCGAACTCGAGCTATTTGGTTCGTTTATCACCCCTAGTGATATTACCATCTGATTATCCAATAATAAACTACCATTCTTGTAATGTAACCACTGGTAGGGCTGCTGCAAATTCATAAAGCTATAGAAGAAAAATTCAAGTTTAATAAAACTTGTTTTTGGAAATATTTTTTTTAAAAATATTTTGTGGCTGTGTTTGTCTGCTGTGTTCTTGACTTTTAAGAGTCATAAAATCGGAACAGTCTCAAGGTTAGATGAAGTATATATCCATTTTAGCTTAATATGAGAAAGTTAGGTGGGTACCTTTACAATGGCTTTGCTGTCGTGGTATTCTAGCTTACAACTTCATAGAGAAGTTTAGGTATTGTAATTTGAATGGTAAACCAGGAGACTTAGTTTTGATTCTTGAAACCTATATGAGAGTTTTTCTTCGTCTTCTTTTTTGCTTCCTTTGTCTTCTTCTCCCTATAGGAAAAGTAGTGTCTCCAAGATAGAATATCTGGAAGAAGATAGTAAAGTTCCCGTCACTCATGTTCCCTTAAACCCATGTCCACATCGTGACTATGTCTACACATGTTGGACACGGCAAACATGGCACCTATTTTGGTGTCCATGATTCCTTGGTCTTGTTTATGGTGTAACAATTGGTTTTCATTCCAGTTTATGGTGGGAATTTTAGGTTTTGTAGATTGTGTAAATGACCATAGTGACCCAATTTTATCTAGTGTATGCCCAATAGATAGGGGCCATATGGCACATTTTATAACAAATTGTGAAGAGCTCTAAGATCGAAAATTTAGCTTGTGAAATATTAGATAAAAGCACGTATGAAAGGCTATATAAGAGTTACCTATGGGAGGTTATGTCGAAGAGTTTCTGCAATCATGGTTCACTTATTGTCTATTATTTACATGGTCAGTTTTGAGGTTCTGGCAGTTTATATGACACCATAAGTGTATTAGTTTCACTATTTTTTGAACCACCACCAGATTAAAATACATTTGAGAACCATACAAATTTGTACAATTAAGTCTTAGAAATTAGAATAGTCCGTCCCTCAGCGTAGTCACTTCCATTCTCATTCTGATTTTCAGACATTGTCTCATGCTCAACATACCTTCACATTGTAGAATTTCAAGTTGATTTTTTTTAGTGGACGAGTAGCAATTTCATTTCCAGTTTGTAGATTTTCAAGTATATTTTGTGCAGGAGAGGTGAAAAAATGGAGCATGATGAGACTGGATGCCAACCTCCTCCCGAAGGTCCTATTTTGTGCATCAACAACTGTGGCTTCTTTGGAAGTGCAGCAACCATGAACATGTGTTCCAAGTGTCACAAGGACTTGACAGTGAAACAAGAACAGGCTAAACTTGCTGCATCATCCATTAACAACATAGTTAACGGATCAGGTGGATTCAGTGTGGGCATGCAAGTGGATTCATTGGAGCCAAAGACTATTTCTTTGCCACCAACTCCGGCATCTGGCTCTGAGGAGACCAGTGAGCCAAAGCCGAAGAAGGGTCCTAATAGGTGCACCACTTGCAAGAAACGGGTTGGCTTAACCGGGTTTAAATGTCATTGTGGTGACCTCTTTTGTGGATCGCATCGCTACTGGGACAAACACGACTGCCCTTTTGATTACCGTGGCACTGCACAGGATGCTATAGCAAAAGCCAATCCTGTTGTAAAGGCAGAAAAGCTCGATAAAATCTAGAGCTGATGGGGATGATGAAGATTTGATATGCATATATATATATATATGATGCCTCCTGCTATTTTTCCTGGGACTTGCTGTTACGACAACTCTGCAGCTTAAAGAACTCTATGGCTTTATGATTACTGAGATTTTCTGTTGGCTTCAAGTGTCTTTTGTGATGGTTTGGTGGACATAATTTGTGGTTGGGTTGAAATGGTGTTTCTCTCTTGTGGTTCATGTCAAATGGGTATTGTGCAATTTCTTGATAATATGGAGTACATCCATGGCATTCTTGTGACTTGTAAATCTTGATTCTGGTTTTTGAGAATATCTTCACTACCGGTCCTGTTTGGTGTAACTTTATATTACTTACAAGTGTTTGATACAACTATTATTTATACTTTACCGGGGTAGAAATAGTTTAAGTAAACTAAAAAAATTTGATTATCTGAAAATTCGATTATTATTATTATTTATTAAGAAGACTATATTTATGAATTATATCTTTGTATATTATCTCATATGTCACTATTATATTAGTTTAATAAATTTTATTATTCATATATATATGTATAAATATATATATATATATATATTATCAAGTAACACTTTTACCTAATAAACAAACTGTGACATGGAAGTAATTTCAAAATTATGGTAACCATGTGGCCTCTTTATTTAGAAAAGTTATATCCAAATACTATTAATTTTATAGAATGCCACGTCAACAACAAAGATGGAGGGAAATGATCCTAATGATTGAATACATTTTGCCTAGCGTTGAAGGCTAGCTACATGTAGCTAGTGAATATGAGTTGAGGCAAAATGCCTAATCATATGCCTAGTGCATTGGAATTGAAAAAAGTGAATCACACTAGGCATTTTAACTAACAAGTATTATATGCCTAGTGCATTGGAGATGCTCTAACACTTTTACCTAATAAACAAACTGTGACATGGAAGTAATTTCAAAATTATGGTAACCATGTGGCCTCTTTATTTAGAAAAGTTATATATTACTTTCCTAGAAGGTGAATGCAAGAAAGACTTTTCATCCCAAGCAAAGGTTAGTTGTCAATTTTGAAAACCTTGGCTGCTAATGTATGTTCACACACGCTACATGTCACAATCCAAATTCGTCTTTATAGGTTTAACGTTATGATCAGTCAGTAATCTCAGATTACTTACGGCCTCTATTAACAAAATCAATCTTAGTATTATTTACGGGACTTAGCGGAAGCAATTTAAGACATAAAGCTAATCTATTGAGCTGTGCATATATGAAAATATCTTCATAGCATAATTATACATTCATTCTTTACATATGTGCATTCATTCATCACAATAGACTTTCAACATTTATTACACATTTCAAATATCCATAGCTTTAAAATCTAAAACAACCCCCAGTAGTAAAAACAAAAGTATAAAACAAAATATCATAACAAAAAGGGGTTTTGGCTTGCTTGGCTCCGCTCGAGCCATTGATTGCTTCATTTCGAAAGCTCAACAAAAGGTTGACAAAAGGACAGACTTTGGGGCTTTCTTTAACCTTGATGCTCGTTTAGCTTACCTATATATACGTATAAATAGTGAGTTAGGACCCAGTGAGTAATAACAGAATAAAGAGGGTTATATGAATGAAGTTTGGTAACATTTCAAATAATAATTCCAATTCTATTCGAGTCTCGATATCAATAGCCATTTCAATCAATTTATGTGGTATATCCAATAGAGTAACGATGCATCAATGACAATGGGACCACAAGGGTCATTCGATATTTCATATTCAATGTGACCATGTGGATCTAACATCAGAGATCTCTGTGTTTCTATATTCAATGGGCTATTTTATTATATCCTCCAGGCAAGGGCTTATTAAACAATGGGCGATGGTATTGTTTCTGTAACGCCCCGAAATAATTACTATAAACCATCCACAATATTAATTACATAACAACATATGATGAAATAATTATCTTCCATTAATCCTAATTACTTGTACAAAAGGGTAATATATTCAGGTATACATTTACAAGTCAACCCTAAATCTATAGCATATGTTACATGATAGAGAAATAGGATGAAAGTTAAACAAATAAGAAATGGCCTAAGAGCTTACAGATTTCCAAGATAGTGCTTGGTTACAATAAAATAGATTTAAATCCAATATAGTTAAAACCCTAGGCTTGTACAAAATAAATACAACAAAATAACCAAAATAAAGCTCTTGCTTCCAAGTCTTCCCAAGCTATTCCCTTGGCGAAGGCATATCATTAGTACCTGAAAATAATTTTCCCACATAGGGTGAGCCAAAACCCAGTAGAAATAATTCAACACAGTATATAAGTCTTAACAAAGATATAAGATGAATGCACATGCAATGCTCGTGCCAAAATATTTTACAGCTCTTTCCAAAACCATGCAATGCTAGATTTATATCATAGTTCATAACTCATTTCCTTCACAATAGAAAACAAGGCAATGAATCACGCTTTAGGAGTTTCAAAACAAATACAACATTTCACAGAAATTTCGTCCGTGGGATATTGTAAACCGACACCCATGTAAACATAGGCTATACAAGCACTATTATTGCAATTTCATGGATATTTTGCCTGCGGGATCGACACTCATGTATGTGCGTGGTTTTTAGGACTTTCACCATGAACACTTAGGCTAACTTATTTCAATGAGTCAACATATACTTCCTAGATTCACCATTTTTCCCCGACGATAAAAATTTTCAATGTATAAATATGAAATAATGCCCGATGCAAATGGATGAGAAAATAGTTTCAATTCTCCTAATTTTCTTGCAATTTTTACAACAATCATAGTTATCCTGCACCGATAGCCCAAAATAGATATTTCTAAACAGATACACAATTCTCAATAAAGATAAACTTTTCAAATTTTCAAGATGTGAGTGGCAATACATATCAAACTCCACAATTCTCATCAATATCAACCCAATTCCACTTTTTCAACATCAATTTCATTATTTATATAAAACCAACATTTGAGACTTTTAGGGCAAAAACCCTTTTTTCTTCCAAAACCAATCCCAAGTATCAAAATCAACAATTTCCTCACAACTCACCTTTATTTTCAACACCATAATCATTTTCAAGAATCCATTTGAAAACTCCTATTTTGATCTTTAACCTAAAACCCTAGGTTTGTTTCAAAAATCCCCAAAATCACAATATTGTTTAGAAATAGCAAATAATAAGTTAAAACTCGTCAAAAGTGCGAAGAATCCATACCTCAAGTTTATAAGGCAAGAGAGAGACAAAGTGTGTAGGAAACTTAAAGATGCCGAAAGTCAACTTTGTTCCGATTAGAACGAAGCCCTTGTCGAGCTCTACCGTTTTAACAAAAGAACACGAGTGAAAAGATTGACGGATCTAGGTAGATTTGAGTGAAATAGATGAGTTTTAGAGAGAGAGAATGGAAGAAAATAGGATTTTGAAAAGTTCAAAGAGAGAGATGAAAAAGTGACTCAGAAGTGGCTCTTTACGAACTGATATACGCACAAATCATTCGAGTGCAAAAAGTGTTTCTTTAGTTACCAGACACAATAAGTTGCACCGCTCAAGCATAAGAAGCTTCGCTCGAGCGAAGAATATCAACTCCCATAAGTTTTACAGACAGAAGACCACCGCTTAAGCTCAAGAAGGCAGCACGAGCCAATACCTCTCGAGTGCAAGAAGCTTTGCTCGAGCAAAGGATATCACCTCCCAGTAGTTTTGCAGACCTGCAAAAGTACTGAAAGTTCATAAAGATCACTCGAGCGCAAGAAGCGTCGCTCGAGCGAAGCAACAAAATTCTGGGCAATGACAATTTGAAAAACAAGCTACCATCCTGTTCCAAATGTAACCAACACATTCCAATAGCCAAACTCAAAGAGAAATAAAGGGAAATAAGATAAGAATAAATATATAAGGAAATAAATCTCGGATCCAAAACATCAAATGCGTCTAAACCATAATCGCTATAACCTCCCCCCTTGAGGAATTCTGTCCCCTAAATTTTAAACCAAACATTAAAACCATGTTTAAACCAATTACAACAATCATAGTAATTCAAATTCATCACCATAACCCATCCACGGGTCATCTATTCTCATCAACATGATAAATGAGTTTTCAATATTGAATATACAATTCACATTTCCAAAACATATATAATGTTTATATTACATTAACATAACAAAGTTTTCAATACATGTTCAAACATCAACAAATAGGTTTGGATATTTCTCATGGACTTCTGCCTCAAGCTCCCAAGTGGCCTCCTCAACCCCGTGGTGTCGCCACAACACTTTTACCAAAGGAATTTTCTTGCCTCGCAAAACTTGGTCTCGAGTATCTAAACTCTAACCGGTCTCTCCTCATATGAGGCATCCTTGTCTACCTGTAACTCTGTCTAATCCAACACATGTGATGAATCTGACTCATACTTCTGGAGCATACAGATATGAAACACGTCATGAATCCCGAAAAGTTGTGGCGGCAAGGCCAAACGATAAGCTACCTCCCTAATCCGCTTTAGGATATCAAAAGGCCCAATGAATCTAGGAGATAACTTCAAGCTCTTCCCAAACCTCATCAAACCCTATCTAAGTGACGTGATCTCTCACCTCAAAGGATAACAATCTCGTCCTACGATCGGCATAGCTCTTTTGACGACTCTGAGCCATAACCAACCTCTTATAGATAAGTGCAACTTTCTTTACCCGAACTAACTCTAGACCTATCATAGGTGCATCACCCACCTCGGCCTAACACACAGGAGATCTACACGGTCGACCGTACAAGACCTCAAACGGTGCCATACCAATACTCGACTGTAAGCTATTGTTATGGACATACTCCACTAAAGGCAAGTGCCTCTCCTATGACCTCTTAAATTCAAGAACACAACCTCGAAACATATCCTCAAGGATCCGAATAGTACACTTTGACTGCCTGTCAGTCTGAGGATGATATGTGGTACTAAAAGTAACCTAGTGCCCAAGGCATTCTACAGGTTCTGCCACCACCGAGCCATGAAACATAGATCTCTATCCGTGACAATCGTCACCAGGACCCCATGAAGTTGAATAATGTCCTTGGCATACAAGTCAGTGAGGAAATCTACCAAGTCACTCGTGCACACGTGCACATAGGTACGAAGTGAGTTGACTTAGTCAATCAATTAACTACAACCCATATGGCATCATTGCCTCGTTGAGTCGTCGGAAGACCCACAACAAAATCTATCGTGACATGCTCCTACTTCCACTCATCTATAGGCAAAGATTGCGACAAACCCGCTGGCCTCTGATGTTCGGCTTTCACTTGTTGACAAGTAAAGCACCTCGACACAAACATGACTATATCTTTCTTCATCC